GATTATTTACTTCATTATTTAATTGCTTTACACCAGAGGGTTTTCCATACCTTATATTTTAACAATATTAACATCAAAACTTTTAATTCAATGTCGTAGAAATAAGACTTTTCCACAAGACAATCAGAATTATGTTTTTTCATTAACAACCCAACCACATATGTTCAGGTGTCCCCCTTTTGAAAAAATACTAGATTAGAAGCTAATAATCGTAAAATACACAATAACTTCATTGCTTTATCTTAATACAAGAGTAGAACAATAATCAGTCATTTTAAAACACTTTTACAAGAATGAATTTCAAAATACTTGGATTTAATGCAATTTGCTAGTCATAAAAAAACTGTATTGTAAATCCAGATCAATTTGTAATTTATAATCAACTTAACCCTTCTTGTTTATATTTCTTATCCCTAAATCGCATGTAGCACAATAGATTCCTTAGTTATTTGCCATTAAAATCTTCTTTAGATGCTATTTTTTGGTCTTGAAGATTAACTTCTGTCCAAGTTTTATAACTATCCATGAAGGTTTACAAATTTATCATGTCAATATAATTTAATCCCAGGCTGTCTGTAAATGTTAACTGTAAAAAACGAAGTCCATCTATCATAAAAATACTGAAAATAAAAATAAGTATTTTCAAAATTTCACTCTGGATACTGTCTTTTGGTCATAAACAAGCTTCTGTTCAAATTTCATAAAATTCCATGTAAGCAATGGTTTGACAAAGTTATTGATGTCTAAAGAGACTTTAACCTCAGACTAAATCTGAATGTTAACTGTAAAAAAATTAAGTCCATTTATCAGTAAAATACGGAAAATGAAATTATATATTCTCAAAATTTCACTCTGAATACTGTCTTTTGGTCATAAACAAGCTTAAGCTTCTGTCCAAATTTCATAAAATTCCATGAAAGTTTGACAAAATAATTGGTGACTGAAAAACTTTGACCTCAGACTAAATCTGGATGTTAACTGTAAAAAAATTAAGTCCATTTATCAGTAAAATACGGAAAATGAAATTATATATTCTCAAAATTTCACTCTGAATACTGTCTTTTGGTCATAAACAAGCTTCTGTCCAAATTTCATAAAATTCCATGAAAGTTTGACAAAATAATTGGTGACTGAAAAACTTTGACCTCAGACTAAATCTGGATGATAACTGTAAAAACAAGAGTGCACACGCTGAAATGTCTCGCCTTCTTTACTAATCATTGATATTATGTTGATAGTCCTAAATATAAAGCTTTATTACAACTGTCACATAAACTTAACATTAACCAAGTAAACTAAACATTGACCAATGAACCATGAAAATGAGGTCAAGGTCAGATGAACCATGCTAGGCAGGCATGTACAGCTAACAATTCTTCCATACAACAAATAGAGTTGACCTATTGCTTATAGTTTAAGAAAAACAGACCAAAACACAAAAACTTAACACTGAGCAATGAACCTTGAAAATGAGGTCAAGGTCAAATAAAACCTGCGTGACTGCCAAATAGATCATAAAATATTTCCATACACCAAATATAGTTGAACTATTGCATATAGTATAAGAAAAACAGATCAAAACACAAAAACTTAACTATAACCACTGAACCATGAAAATGAGGTCAAGGTCAGATGACACCTGCCAGTTGGACATGTACACCTTACAGTCCTTCCATACACCAAATATACTAGACCTATTGCTTATAGTATCTGAGATATGGACTTGACCACCAAAACTTAACCTTGTTCATTGATCCATGAAATGAGGTCGAGGTCAAGTGAAAACTGTCTGATGGGCATGAGGACCTTGCAAGGTACGCACATACCAAATATAGTTGAACTATTGCACATAGTATTAGAAAAAAAGACCAAAACTCAAAAACTTAACTTTGACCACTGAACCATGAAAATGAGGTCAAGGTCAGATGACACCTGCCCACTAGACATGTACACCTTACAATCATTCCATACACCAAATATAGTAGACCTATGGCATACAGTATAAGAAAAACAGACCAAAACACAAAAACTTAACTATAACCACTGAACCATGAAAATGAGGTCAAGGTCAGATGACACCTGCCAGTTGGACATGTACACCTTACAGTCCTTCCATACACCGAATATACTAGACCTATTGCTTATAGTATCTGAGATATGGACTTGACCACCAAAACTTAACCTTGTTCACTGATCCATTAAATGAGGTCGAGGTCAAGTGGAAACTGTCTGACGGGCATGAGGACCTTGCAAGGTACGCACATACCAAATATAGTTGAACTATTGCACATAGTATTAGAAAAAAAGACCAAAACTCAAAAAATTAACTTTGACCACTGAACCATGAAAATGAGGTCAAGGTCAAATGACACCTGCCCGCTAGACATGTACACCTTACAATCATTCCATACACCAAATATAGTAGACCTATGGCATACAGTATAAGAAAAACAGACCAAAACACAAAAACTTAACTATAACCACTGAACCATGAAAATGAGGTCAAGGTCAGATGACACCTGCCAGTTGGACATGTACACCTTACAGTCCTTCCATACACCGAATATACTAGACCTATTGCTTATAGTATCTGAGATATGGACTTGACCACCAAAACTTAACCTTGTTCACTGATCCATGAAATGAGGTCGAGGTCAAGTGAAAACTGTCTGACGGGCATGAGGACCTTGCAAGGTACGCACATACCAAATATAGTTATCCTATTACTTATAATAAGAGAGAATCTAACATTACAAAAAATCTGAACTTTTTTTTCAAGTAGTCACTGAACCATGAAAATGAGGTCAAGGACATTGGACATGTGACTGACGGAAACTTCGTAACATGAGGCATCCATATACAAAGTATGAAGCATCCAGACCTTCCACCTTCTAAAATATAAAGCTTTTAAGAAGTTAGCTAACGCCGCCGCCGCCGCCGCCGGATCACTATCCCTATGTCGAGCTTTCTGCGACAAAAGTCGCAGGCTCGACAAAAACTAAGTCCATTTATCAGTAAAATATGGAAAAATGAAAATTATAATTTTCAAAATTTTGTTGTGGATACTGTATTTTGGTCATAAACAAGCTTCTGTCCAAATTTCATAAAAATCCACCATTTCTGATCAAAGGGAAATAACTCAAAATAAAATCAATTGAACAGATACAATCATTGATAGACTATCTATCTATATACTTATTAATTTCACCATTTCTGGTCAAAGGAAAATATCTCAAAAATAAAAAAATCATATAATAAGAATCACTTTTGCTACTGAAAGGTTTACATCTCAACAAGGAGAAATCGTGAAAATTTAACTTGACCTTCATTTAGTCACAGGTAACAACATATCTAAATTAGAAAAGCGTTTTTATGTTAATGAACGGACACTGTTTGGCAGCCACCCGCCCGCCGTACATCCCCAAATCAATAATTGCAAAAACTGTAACCACAGACTGAACTAAATATTGACGCCACTGACAACGGAATCTAGGATCGCTAAGGCTTAGTTTCGTGACATAAATGTCGCTGGTTGACAAAAAGGTTGATATACTGATGCTGTTATAATAATCCCCCCCCCCCCAAAAAAAAAGAAGGAAATTCAGATTCTTGTACACCATATAAGAAGGGATTCATGTGCATGTACTTGTATTATAATAAAAACTCTGTGATGGACTGTCAATAATTACTATTTTAAACATTTTATTTTGATATTTAGATATAACGTTTACCGTCTTTTGGTATGCATAGTGCGCACATTTATACCCTGGGTCATGTTTCTTGTAAGAGGGGTGTGCCTTATACATGCCTACAGACATTTTCTTAGTCTTTTTTCAGGTCCAAACTCCGACAAAGAAATTTCCAGAAGTGAAGAGTACGGAATATTTTTGCTAAAACCTCGATTGTTTTTATGTTTTACATGTTATATTTGTAATGTTTATCTTATTGTTCTGGATTTATCATGTTTTACTCAAATAAAAACATTTTATATCTCTGTAGTAACGTTTATCGTGTAAATTTGTCCATCTGTTTGCAATCTGGAAATTTGCCATGTCTTAATAGAGACACAATAAAGCTTTTGTTGTCGGTTAAATTAGCCTCTGTGTTCCTTGTTGTCATAACTTACTGTTTTTGTATGTGTTCATCATGGAGAGTAGAAGAAAAGTGTATGAAAATTGAATAAACCATGCTCGTTTTGAAAAGATAAACCGCCATTTTTTCTAATGTATCAGGTGATCGCCAGTCATGTGGGTCAGTCATGTGACTTGATATTGTAAAGTGATGATTTAGTCTATGAGAAGTTTATTTTTATAAATACGTTTCTACTTTGTAACTTTTAAACAACTATTTAAAATCGTTCAAGAAATTATGATTGAAAACATGATAATCCCATAATTGTAACCTAAACAAATTTAATTAGGAACAAGGTGAACCTGTCACTAATTTGTTTTGACATCGATTAGGTGTGATAATCCGGATTAACAGCTAGAATCAACAAACAAAAAATGAAAATAATGAGATTTCAACAATTTATTGCAGCACTAATGCTGTTAATGATAATCATTTGACTGATTCGTAATTATGTTATTGTTTCAATCAGAACATTAATTTGGATATTTAATCTTGTCCTTGATACTCAAACAATTTATAAAAATTTGGTTTTAAAAAAACAAACTTAAATGTAGATTTATCTCAATCTAATAAAATTCTTATTCATTTGTCAGAATATTTGCAATTTCATATTAGTTACTTATTCTGTACGAAATTCTCCGACATCAGTGTCCATTTAAAAAACTTCCTGTTTGCCGATTTTGGAGCTGTAACTTTTCCGAAAATGTCTGAGTATTATACAAACAATAAACTTTTTTTCTCACGTTTCTTGGACCATAAAGGGGTGTGCACTATACACGAATGCGCACTATACACCCCAAAAGACGGTACTTAAGAATAAATAATAAATTTTGACCACATACAATTTTTATATGACATACAATACATACTAATTAAGCTGGAAGACAAGATACATGTAGGCTGGTATCTAGACCATGTTAAGTCATCCAAACATTCCATAACTGGATTTCCCAGTAACTGATAAGCATCTCTATTACATTTATATGTGACTTTTGATCTAACATTGTAAGAATCCCGTACAAATATTTCACCATTATCTATTGATGGAGGAGCTGGACAATTATTTTTGAAAACAAAAGGTTTATAGTCTTCTAGTCCTGAAAAGCAAAACAGTAATCAGAAGTTAAACTCATCCAATCTTGAAAAGATGAACTGATACTTAATATTAACAGTCTTCCAGCCCTCAATAATAAAGAAAAGGCCTTAAAGGGTAAGAAAAAGGGTTCACAAACTTTAATAACCATATTCTTGCCCTAGAAAATACACAACTTATTATAATTGTCCCCGACAAATAACTACAGTTAGAGATATTTTCCTAATGCTTATAGTTTAAAGGTTTGGTTGGCTTGCTTTGTTTGTATAAATGTTTGCTCAAGCATTGTAATTAAGATTGTCACCTACAATCAATAGATAGGCAGGGCATCAGCTTGTATACATTATACACTGCATTATACTTAACATCCAATAACATTTATAAGTATAATGTATACAAGCTGAAGCCCCACCTATCTAGTGATTGCAGATGTCAATATTAATTACAATGCTTGAGAAAACATTTAAACGAATAAAGCAAGCCAACCAAACAGTTAAACAACAAGCATTAGGAAAATAGCACTAAATGAGAAATAGAATTTGATGTTATTCTAAAAGTTTACTTGTGACATTAAGCTTTCAAGTAAATAATTCTGTTGGTAAAAAATTTTCTAGGATAGAGTCATCAATTATAAAACTTCAAAATGATAGTAAATTAATGTACATGAATCTTTAACCAAATTTGGCAGAAGTGACCTGTACATGATTTTACAAGTTTTTTCATCAATTTTCCAATTTGGCAGAAGTGACCTGTACATGATTTTACAAGTTTTTTTTATTAATTTTCCAATTTTCCATTTTTCTACCAATGTTTAAGACAAATAAAGTCATTAACCACAATGCTTCAAGTATATTGTATTATATAACCAAAAAGTATATTGTATTATATAACCAAAGTTTGGTACATGTGTGTGGGTTTTTAAAAAGATGTCAGAAATATTGAAACATACATATGAATGTTTGCCAGGTTCCTCTCTGTTTTGAGGATTTTTATTTCTTCTAATTTCACCTATTGCTTTATTTACTTTGATAAAACAACAATCTAAATGTCCCTGACAAACCATAATGGCTGATTAAACAAATGATCAACTGATAGACCAAAACATGTACATGTTAATCATCAAAGCAATTATCATTGTGACCCTCTAGGGACAATTGAAATATTACCATAAACTCAATGGAAATAATAGTTAATTCTGTCATTCTGTAAACCGGGAAATTTTAGTGCCACTTTTATTTCACGATTTACCAACAAAATCAGAATATGTGACTTTGAATTCGCGATATCCCATGGTCCTAAATATATATACATTTTAAATTCTGACAGGATTACAGTAATCAATTAGATATGTTGATCTGTCTGTGCAGCAGATACAATGTGGTATTCATTTTAAAACTCATTGACAGGTGTCATTTACCCTAATGTAATGAGTGTTTATATTAAAAAATCAGTGACGTTCGTTTGCTTGAGACTCCTTCCCTGTTAATTAGACTATCATGTTTCTTACGTCGCCTTTCATTTTGAAATAAATTCATGATTTGCAGTATAGATCTGTCTGTAAAAGTTATAAATTGTTCATCTTCATTTCCAATTAGTAAAAGTTCATGTATGGTCCTAATTCTTTGAATCCATTAAATACTTGTGGTAGTTTTAACTATTTTAACTCTTACCGTGAAAAGAGCGGAAATTACTTACTACATTTTGGTGTATTTCCTATCCAACTAGTTCCTTTACAAATTAAAATGGCAAATTGTTCATCTTTATAATATCCATCATCACATTTGTACATCACCTGGTTACTACCAGAAAATTTGGCTGTCCCATGGAGTATTGATGGAGGATCACCACAATCAGCATCTATAAACATGGCAAACAGAAGATTAATTTAACTAGAAGTCAACATCTCTTTTTAGAACCTTGACATACTTCCCCATGAAAGCAGTAATGTTCAAATCAGGACAACAGAAGAAAATTTTCTATTAAAAAGACACACATGCTTTTATATCTGATAGATTTGGCAATGGTTTTCAAATATTATTATGCTACCTCTACAGTATGGCATTTTTCTTTTATAAGGCCTAGAGCAAACATCATCAATGAATCAGTAACTGTTAGTTACCAGGACATTCATATATACATTTTTTGTACCTGTATCTCTAACACATTCTGGTAGATTTTTATATCCATCTGCAGACATCCACTCTCCATTCTGACATTTGATGCTTATGCTATGAAAAGCTATCCCATTAAGATGTATAAATTTTCCAGGATCACACTCTACTAATGCAGCTCTAAAAGATTGTTCCCATCGGACTGTTGAATGAGGTATGTCTGGATAATCTAAACATCCACCAGAACTTCCTACAAATGTCACAAGTTTATATCTCTGTAGTAAATATGTATTATAATGAGCTATACTGCACAGAGGGAGGATAATTTTATGATCACAATTGCCATTTGTGAACATTAAATTTATTACCTTGAAATAATTATAACAAGATTAACTGTGAGGCTTATAATACCCTCCATTCAAATAACATTTGAAAACTTTATACCTTATTAGTAAGATGCATACATAATTGAATACAATTGAGCTAAAAGACAGCATAAAGAAGGGGATAAAAACCTTTACATATTTGCATTTGACATGTTGGAGAGACCAAGAAATTAAGGTTGATTTCTTTAATATTTCCCCAATGTTGTTGCATCAGCAGATGAAGTTTCTTGTTAACCAAACATTTCCACCTGGCCATTTTACATGTAATGTGTATGAATATATAAGTAGAAGTTGAGGTGAAAATACATAGTAGCATGAAGCTGGATAGCAAATTTTAGGAAGGTTTGATTTTTAGTTTCTTAGAAAAAAGTGAAAAAATTTCATACATAGCCATTATTTGTAAAATATATAAAGGAATAGGGAGTTGATGAGTATTGAATGTGAAAACACATAACACCATATACATGAGAACATAAAGCTGGATAGCAAATCTCAGGAGTTCCAGCAATAAATGCAATAATAATTTCATGGGACTGATAGGGGTAAAACAGTATAACCCCCTCATTCTGAGCATGGGTATAATAGACCTATGACCAAGATGACCTCTTACAGTGGCATAGTACCAGTGTTGCATTGTAAGCATATGCTTACATACATGTATAATTTTATAAAAAAATAAATGTGGATAGTGTCCACATGTGGACACAGATGATGCCCCCGCTTGCATATCATATAGTTATAAAGGGACATAACTGAAGAACGGTAAAAGTGACGCTACCCAAATTTGAACTTGATCTGAGTTTTGTGGTAATTAGCATTGTGTGTAAGTCTCATAACATTTGGTTGAGGCTAACTTAAGTAGAGAACAAACTAAAAATTCAGCAATTTTTCTATTTGTAAACATGCATAACTCTAGAACGGTTGTGTATAAGTTTTATAACATTTGGTTGAGACAAACTAAAGTTAGAGAACGGAAACGAAAAATTCAGCAATTTTTATGTTTATAAAGGGACATAACTCAAGAATGGTAAAAGTGTCGGCACCAAATTTGGTACTTAATCTGTTTTATGTAGTAATAAGCATTGTGTATAAGTTTCATAACATTTGGTTGAGGCAAACTAAAGTTAGAAAACGGAAACCAAAAATTTGTTCTTGATCTTAGTTTTGTGGTAATGAATATTGTGTATAGTTTTCATAATGTTTGTTTGGGGCAAACTTAAGTTACAGAATGGAAACTAAAAATTTTGCAATCTTTCAATTTATAAAGGGGCATAACTCAATAATGGTTAAAGTGACACTACCCAACTTCAACTTGATCTGTGTTTCATCAGTGGAAGTCAAAATTTAACATTGCATTGTATAAAGCATTGATTGTAGTTGATTCAACTATAATCATGGACAAAGGAAGATAACTCCAATTTTATAAATTACTTGATTTTTAGAAGAAAATAAAAATTTTGCAATTTTCCATTTATAAAGGGGCATAACTCTAGAACGGTTAGAGTGACCCCACCAAAATTCAAACTTGATCTGTGTTTTGTGGTAATAAGCATTGTGTATAAGTTTGATAACATTGGTTGAGGCAAACTCAAGTTAGAGAACGGAAACCAATTTTTGGACGTACGTACAGACGGACAAGGGGAAAACTTAATGCCCCCACCGCTAAGGCAGGGGCATAAAAAAATTTTCAATAAGAATTTTTTCCATAATCGTTCAGGCCTGGGACGCTGCCATCCCCCAGGCCCCCTACTTACAAATTTTTTTCCAGTGGCTATGCCACCATCTTATGGTATAGAAGTAGTTTGTATGGAATTGTAAGTAGACTACCTGAACAGTTGACTTCTTGTACAGTTCACTAACTTCATTACCTATAATTCATATCTAATCTATAGATTTATTTTCTTTCATACACAATCAATGAGTGAATTTGTTGTTTTCAGATGATTATTGATCAGATTTCAACAATGAAGTTAATTTTATGCCTTCTTCTGATTTTTTATTGTGACATCATACATACCAAAAAGGCAACTATTGTATGTCTATTGAAATTTATCAGAAGGCAACTATGTCTGGTGATATCTAACAGAAAGACAACTATGTCTGGTGGTATCTAACAGAAAGGCAACTATGCCTGGTGATATCTAACAGAAAGACAACTATGTCTGGTGATATCTAACAGAAATGCAACTATGTCTATTGATTTTTAACAGAAAGGCAACTATGTCTGATGATATCTAACAGAAAGACAACTATGTCTATTGAAATTTAACAGAAAGGCAACTATGACTGGTGATATCTAACAGAAAGACAAATATGTCTGATGATATCTAACAGAAAGACAACTATGTCTGATCATGATGACATCTAACATAAAGACAACTATGTCTGATGATATTTAACAGAAAGGCAACTATGTCTGATGACATCTAACAGAAAGACAACTATGTCTGATGACATCTTACATAAAGACAACTATGTCTGATGATATTTAACAGAAAGGCAACTATGTCTGATGACATCTAACAGAAAGACAACTATGTCTAGTGATATTTAACAGAGAGGTAACTATTGTATGTCTATTGAAATTTAACAGAAAGGCAACTATTGTATGTCTATTGAAATTTAATTTCAAAGGCAAATCTGATGACATCTAACAGAAAGACAACTATGTCTGATGACATCTAACAAAAAGACAACTATGTCTGGTGATATTTTACAGAAAGGCAACTATGTCTGATGATATCTAACAGAAAGGCAACTATGGCTAATGACTCTCATAAAAAGGCAACTATGTCTAATGACATCTTACATAAAGACAACTATGTCTAATGACATCTAACATAAAGACAACTATGTCTAATGACATCTAACATAAAGACAACTATGTCTTATGACATCTAACATAAATTAAAGGCAACAATGTCTAATGACATCTAACATAAAGTCAACTATGTATAATGACATCTTACATAAAGACAACTATGTCTGTCAGCAGATAGAATTTGTCTTTCATGAAAAACAATCTATTGACTGTATTGTTACAAACCTTGTTATCAGTTACTGTAACACTATCTGTAGTTACTAACCTTGTTATCAGTAACTGTAACAATATCTGTAGTTACTAACCTTGTTTAACAGTTACTGTAACACTATCTGTAGATTGTTACTAGCCTTGTTTAACAGTTACTGTAACACCATATGTAGATTGTTACTAACCTTGTTTAACAGTTACTGTAACACTATCTGTAAATTGCTACAAACCTTGTTTAACAGTTACTGTAACACTACCTGTAAATTGTTACAAACCTTGTTATCAGTAGCTGTAACTCTGTTTTAGATTTTTACTGACCTTGTTTAATGGTAACTACATGTATAACACAAACAGTAGATTTTTACTAACCTTGTTTAACAGTTACTGTAACACTATCTGTAGATTGTTGTCCAACAGAATTTATCACCTTCAGTATGAATGTATATACACCTTCCTGCAGATTATACACCTCTAAATATTGTGTTCTTGTACCCTGGAAAATAAGTTAATAAAAGAATTCAAGGAACAGTATTTGATGCCAAAATGATTTAAATCTGAGATTAATTAAGACTTTGAATAATGTTATCATAAAATAATCGCACTTGACCATGGAACCTCAAATAATGAATTTTTTACAAAATTTAGTATCAGTATCATGTAACTGTGCCAATAATACAGATTTTCTTTCAAGTTAAGAAAATATGGAGGTGTGGTATAACTGCCATGTACTAAAAATGTAAATAACTACAGGTCAAGACAACATAATATTCCTATATATCTCAAGTAAGTATGAAGACTAGACCTTGAATCTGTATTTGAATTGTGAAGAAATTATAGTCACCGGTAATGCAGTTTTTTACTTTATATAATTATGCTTTTGAACCAAGTCCCATAACTCTAACAAAGATAAATATTGTCAGAAAGGAAATGGACCATTAGATAATCAATTCATATTAAATATTTAATTAATAGGAAATAATTATAAGGTAATGCATACTTGAGTTAAACCCCAAGTTTAAAAAAAATCCATTTCTAGTACATGTATAACCAAGGGCAATAACTCTAAATCTCTAAGTCTAGTGATCTTTAGACTTACCCCAAAAAAGGTTGGTTTTCATATCACAAAAATGACTAAAACCCCTAAAAATCCTAGCTAAAACATTAACCCTGCAGCAATAATATAGTATTAATTAATATTGGTGTTTTCATAATGGCCCTGTTATATGTCCAAGGTATGTTATAATGGTCGAGGATGCCTGTAATGGCACAAGGCAACGCCGAGGGACATAACAGCCTACAAGGCCATTATAACTTACAGAGGACAAATAACAGGGTCAATTTGAAAACACCCATTTCTTAAACTTTTATTAACCAAACCGTCAATGCGTAATATTTAAGCAAGCCAAATCAGTTTTTTTTTGAGAAATTGTATATATATAATTACACCAAATGCAATATTAAAAAGAAACTTTTAAAGTGATGTGATGAAATAACATGTAAATGTAAATATAGTTTTATTGTAGTCCTATTCAAAGCAATTTATGGCATGCAAGATTTCATTCTGGATTTTAAAACTCAAAATTAAATAAATTGATACACATCATGGAAAGTATTATATAATTATTAACTTGACAACTGGGTCAAATAAGATAAGTCATGATTCTTGGGAATTTTCAATTTCTTAATGTTTCTTTTCCCCAGAAATGTATTTGAATTGATAACAACTGAAAATATGTAATAACCCTGATTTTTCATAATGTCCCTGTTTTTTCATAATGGCCGTGTTTTTTTCATAATAGCCCTGTATTAATGCCCTGTTAGTCTGTTTTTCTTTTATTAATAAAGTGGCAGTGTCATACATAATGCACTAAACTGGTTAATAAAAGAGTGTAATTTTAAAACAATCAAATGGATGGACAAAGGAACAATACATTGTATACATCTGTCTTACAGTGGCATATGCATAGAATGATACATGTAATAGTAATAATATGTAGCACTTTAACTAGTACAAAACATGTAAATATCCTGTATGACATACATGTACCATATACTTATCTAAAAAAAATATGGAGTTGTAAATTCACAACACTGACCACTGAACATCCCCTTTTCCTGGAATCAAGGATTCAAACAAGTTTTTAACAACATTAGATACCTTTAAATCAAGAGTAAGCTGTGGATCTTTATTCCACCAATGGTAGGTAATTGTATGATCATCATCATAACTACCACTACCATTTAGAATAACATAATGTTTAGGTAAATATATCACAACATCATTTCCAGCATCAGCATGAGGTTGGTTATCTATAAAAAAAGGAGGAAAACAATTCAGTCATTTTTTTGAAAATTTGTATAAGGTTTGGCACTGCTGCTGTATGTTTTAAGTACATAAAAAAAACATTTCAGAAATACATGTAAAGGAGATATAAGAGAGAATAAATGGGGAATGTGTCCATGGGACACAGATGATGCCCCTGCTTGCATATAATGTTATAAAGGGACATAACTCAAGAACGGTAAAAGTGACGCCACCAAAATTCAAATTTAATCTGTGTTTTGTGGTAATAAGCATTGTGTATAAGTTTCATAACATTTGGTTGAGGCAAACTAAAGTTAGAGAACGGAAACCAATTTCGAGATGTATGAACGGACAAGGGTAAAACTTAATGCCCCCTCCACTACAGCAGGGGCATAAAAATGTAACAACTTACCAATTTTTTCACAATATGGCAACTTGACTGGACTCCATTTTGAATTATTACATGTAAGCTTCATATCCCCTATTAGTTGGTAACCATCCTCACATATAACTTGTGCTATTGATGGTTTAAAATCAAACCTTTTAACATTTCCATGTTCTATAATTGGTAAAGAGGAACACCATTCCTTCAAATCATACCGAGATTTATCTGAAATAAAGAATACATTTCTACATGTATATCTGATGATAAGGTTCATCCATGTATATCATTCAAACTCTTTCAAACTGAAGAACTAATTATAATTACTACATGTAAGGATTCTATATATCTAAAACACTGCTATCAAATGTTGAAGATTTTATGTAGCAACTTAAATCTAATAGCATATGTTTCATATTTCAATCGCTCTGGTAAATGCTTGTTCGTTTTTATATCAAAACCTAATGATACCTACTAGTCTACTCGTATAACTTTGTAGAACAGATATAAAAGTAGTTTATTGGATGATATCTTACCAACCCCATGAGTAACCTTCATAACATAAAACCACGCTGTGTGAATTAAGCACTTAAAGTTAATAAATTGCTTTGCCGAGCACAGCTCGATACGACCACAGAGGTCCAATCCTGAACAGTTAGGGCAAAAATGGACACAATATTCGCGCTTGATACAGGTCTGAATTTGGATTGTAATTAAATATTTGACACATACCAGTAATAGGTTTCGGATACAGAATAACTGTAGTCAAAGAACTTAGAATTAATTATATGATTTGAATTTATATTCAATTTTTTGCATTTGTGCAATATACACTATGCTGTTGCGAATTGACCCCCCCCCCCTTTTTTTCAAAAAAAAGATATTTGAAGAAATTTTCTTTTTAATTTCTGAAATCTGAGAAATTGTCCCCTCTCACAATTTCTTTTTTACCCCCCCCCCCCCCCCCCCATTCCAAAAAAAAAAATTCTTTCCCTCAAGATATGGTCATAATCTGAATTCAAATTTCCAATGGAGTTTGCAACCATAATTACCAATTAAAATACATCATAAAAATCTTAAAATAGAAAATGACATACATAATCATGGCTAAAATTAATATTCCTTAATCAGCATTTTTAAATAGTAACTTCTAAAAATAAATTGACAGCTAATCACCTCAAGACAATATAACATTTCTTTATACACAATTTAAAAGCAGTGTAAGGGAGGTAATCCAAACTTAACATTGTACTTTTTTTTAATTGTCCATTAACCAGGAAACCCTTGTTTTCCCCCTTTTTTGTCCCTAATTCCTAATCGGTTTGAGCCATAACCCCCCAAAGCAAATCCTAACCATCCCTTTGTGGTATGGAAACTTGTGGTATAATTTCAGAGAGATCCATACACCGTTCCACAAGTTAATGTCTGGAAACTAGAAAAATGCTTATTTGGGCCCCTTTTTGGCCAGTAATTCCTAAACTGATGACTATAACCCCCAAAATCAATCCCAATCTTCCTTTTGTGGTTATAAACCTTGTGTTTAAATTTCATAGATTTCTATTTACATTTACTAAAGTTATTGTCCGGAAACCAAATGTCTTTGGACAACGCTGACAACGTGATACCAATATACGACTGCAAAATTTTTTGCGGTCTTATAAAAATATCATCTCCTTATTCTAATGAAGTACATATAGTTTTCAAAAAAATTTTATCAAGGCTTGAAGCTGTTGCCATATAAGTGCTTAACATAGATCCATCTTTGTGCATGTAATGTTGCTTCACGTTATATCAAGTGCCTGTTACATTTCACTTATTAGCAAAAGATGAAACATTATCTTGGTGAAATTCAATTAAGTATTGTATTCTAATAATATTATTCATACATTTTCTTTGTGCGGATTTAAATATAAATATTATAATTTACTACAAAGGTCTTGACAATTCATGTAAGCATAAACAGTAGTTTTTATTTCATATACATATATCATGTATATAGAAAGTATTATTTTATAGAAAAGAAATTTAAGAAAATTTCCAATTTCATGTAATTATTTTCTTCTTTAACTATCACAAATCAAATATTACGAAAACCTTTTAAAAGTGTGACAAAAATATCTTTATTGTAGGAAGAGATGACTATCAGGGGAATTGACAAGGTGACAGCAATATATAATTATATAGCTCCGGGGCTCCTAGAATGGGAGTAAAACTTTACTTTAGTATTTATGTTAAAATTTAAGCCATTGAACAGCAAGGTGAAGGTCATTTGACAGTAAACTCATGGTCTCCAACATGCATTTGCAGTCTGTGCCAAAAATATTTTATACCTACGAAAAGCATATTACAAGAAAATACTTCTTTATGTTAAACATGTTAAAACAATTTTTGGCAAATTTCACCTGAATTAACAAAATTTTTACTTAAAACATGCTTAGAGCCAGTGGTTATTAACAATTGCAATGGGTTAAATATTTAAAAAAAAAAAAGGAAAAGTAGCAAAAAAATATTTTACAGTCTTCTAGAGGACAGTTAATGGTCCCTATTAACATGTAGGACAGGATACATGTAAATATTCATTTATGCATATCCTAAGGTAGCATTCTACAAATTGTGGAAGTTTCCTCTAGTCTCATTTAGCAGGAGTTGTATTGAGATATAGGAGTAAGTAATTTCAAAATTACCCATTTAACATATATTCCTTAGTCAATAGGCCAATTTTCATTCGTATTTCACAAATTATTTATTTAAATTGATATTACAGTGTAGTTGTTTACATCCTCCTCCTTTTGGCTCTGGTGGAAATATACTCACTGGCCAGCATACCACATCTCCTGGTGGAAAGTTTACTCACTGGCCAGCATACCACATCTCCTGGTGGAAAGTATACTCACTGGCCAGCATACCACATCTCCTGGTGGAAAGTATACTCACTGGCAAGCATACCACATCTCACTTTTTATATGCAAAGATCTTTAAGTGTCTAAAGATGTGTGTACATATTTTAGTTTAAAAGGTTAATACTATCATAAATATATAATACCATTAAAATTTACTGCATCTGCAAGATAATCCATGAACTGCAGCCATATTAACAAAGCAGTGCAGATCCATTCCTTACAAATCATCTTTTTAAACTATACAATCTGCAATTATAAATTAGAGGCTAAGCAGATACATTAAACATGTTATATATCAATATACAGGTTGTAACGGATGAGTACCAGTATTGTTTTAACCATGTTAACATGATTAAGATATAAGGTACATGTAACATGACTTTTAGACACATGTGAGAACTAAACAAACAAAACTGAATAAACAGTTCATTCTAAATTGTAAAAACATTCATAATAAATAAAAAAAAAAAAGATGTTGCTCTATTGTCTTGATTGTTTTTTTAAGATAGCAAGTACATGTAGCACTTAATATCAATTTGCTGGATTATAATAATTAAATTATGCATCTGAATGCTCATATACAGCAGTTCCTTTTTCTAAATTGCTATTATATCTTGCATTGAAATAAGTGAATTTAAATGCAAAGTTATAAATAAGAATTATATATTCATACAAAGAATGACAAATAATGAATTGGGGAATTTCAGTCAAGTTATTGGATGTACATTTTAAAGAAGGAAAACAATATATTCAGTGTTAAAATTAAAAAATCAAAGCACTGTAAGCGCTATAGGCAGTTAAACTAAAAACATGATGAAAACTGTGGCAGTGTTGGTTAAATTGTTTATCACAGCTTGTTATATCTCATGTTTCAGATTTTTTTTGTCATGTGCTGTACTGATTTCCACTATCCTACACACTTTTCTCTAACAATATACCATTTTTTTTTTCAAACGCTTATTAATCATTTTTAAATTACTTTAAAATATGTATCCTTTCGATGATTGAATGTCTGAGAAGATGTATGTACACTGTCCCAGGTAAGGGGAAGGCCTGGCGCCAGTAAACATGTTTAACCCTGCCAGATTATGTGTGTGTGTCTGTCCAAAGTCATTCAGTGGTTGTCATTTGTTGCTGTATATCATATTTATTTTTCATTATTGGTTTGTACATAAATCAGGACGCTGGTTTTCTTGTTGGAATTGTTTTACATTTGTCATTTCAAGGCCATTTACAGCTTTATACTATGCAGTATGGGTTTTGCACATTGTCACAGGCCGTATGTGACATACAGATGCTTACTTCTATCAACTTCTCAATACACTGATGAATGAATTTTTCTTATGCAGGAATAATATCATCAGAATTAAGGTTTTCCACAGTGGTGTATAGTTTAATTCCACTACGTTCTAAGAGTTTTCATATGCCACATTAGCATTTTTAGTTAGATCAGCAGGTATCACTCCGTACAAAAACTGATTTAATAATACTGGGAACAATCTAAGGTGTGGTAATTTTATTATTTATCATGCATGGATCATATTACACAAAAAGATTATGTTGTTGGGCTAGAAATGCTTTTAATTTTCTTTTACATTATTGTACTTCTAAGTGTCCAAACTATTACATTTACATCAAATTTAATACAAATATTTTGTCCGTCTTTTTTAATATATTTATATTCTTCATTTCTTACATACTTTATAAAACATATTTCATGTATCTGCACATTGTATCCTCATTATGTATTCAAACTATCTTTATATAACTGATACATGGGTTACTACTTGTATATACATGTATATTGATAGTGTGCAATAATACGATGTACATGTATCTCCCACATTTTGTAGTAACAGTTGCACAGACATATCATAGTTCTGATATTATCATTAGACAGCCTCTAAAAATAGCTGGACCGTTACAGTAAACTCCATGACAAATTATATTCATGTGTTGTAACCCCTGGCAATTTTGTAAAAAAATCCTGTCAGAATTCTGAACCAAAATTTGTCTGACTAGTCTCCATATGATAAGACCTGGTAAAAATTTTCATATATACATGTTCTTTGATCATATCTGTAGATAAACATGTATAACTATATTCAAAAACATCAAAAAGGTCTAAAGTTTCATAGAGGTCATGGAATTATTATGATGACTAGTCAATGCAGCTACTAGATAGTATCATATATTTTACATGTATGTCTTGTCACTTCTAGGATATTAAAGCCAAGAATTGGAATCTAGCTGAAATAAAAACAAATACAAAAATTTATATTGTTTATTTAGACATACAATCATGATAAAATGTATTTACACAAGTTTTGTCCATGAAATTGAAAAGAAATCATTATGGGATCATGGGATATTCTTTTTTTTAGGGTCAGATCAAAGTTTGATTTTCGACAAATTAAAAAGCAGTTTGAGAGTCAGAGAGATAAAATTATGTTAAATTTTTATTTCTTTCAATCAATTTTATACATACAATGTACATGTCATTTAATATACAAAATGTAGTATGCTCTAGTCTGCCTCTGTTGTAAGTTGACTCATGGTCTCTGATAGGTCTATCAGACAGAATTATATTGTGAATACCAAAATTTAGCAGTTAATGTTTATTTGAGTTGACTTTTAGTGGTATCAGTTGGTTGGCGTGGTACGACTTTGCAATAGTGTGAGTTGACTTGCTTCCCTGTGGAGAACACTGAGTTTGTTCAATTTAAGTTCTACGGTACAATGACACAAATCAGATAATGCCTTACTTTTACAGCAATCAAAGGTGAGGTCTGATTGACCTGCCTTTAATAAATGTAAATGACCCCGACCCCTCCAAGTCCATGATGTTACTTGAGATCTATACCAAGATTGGAATAAATAAACGGTTGGTCAAACATTCTTGGACTTTACACTTATTGAAAGATATGGCTTCTTTAAAATTAGCCATAAATGAAGATTTTCTTAAGGCCCAGAAATAAAAAAGTTCTGGTTTAGAAAAAATGTCATAAACATTGAAATGTCAAAGTCGGACCACAGGCACTTGTTTTTATGCGTGGGAAGATCCACTATCAACATATATTATGAGCTCCTAAATCTTCCCATGGATATAAACAAGTGCCTGAGAGTCAGACACTGGCTTCATGTCACGGGCATGATCAAGATAATGTAGATCGAATTCTTCTATCCACATATATTTCCCAATTCACATTTGCTCTTTATTGATTTTCGCTGATTTTATACATTTTTCAGACATCCGTACCTGTATACAGTAATATATGAATGGGTTTTCTACATTTTCGTGTCACTTACTATGATCACACGATCTATCTAGGTCTAATATCCATATCACATTCTACTGTCATTCTCTGCAAAATTGACATATTTACAAGGTCTCACTAATTAGAGACAAGAAGCGACGAGAAGCATCATGAAGTACCTAGGGCTACTAAATGCAACAGAATTTAAAACTTCACAAAACAGAAAAAAATCAACTGTAATTAATTGACTTTTCTTAAAATTTAATATTTTAATAGTATATAAACTTTCTTATCTCTAAATTTATCCTCTTGTTGCAAATTCATTCTTCCTGTCGCTAACTTTTTTCTACTTGTCGCTTATTGTCTCTACAATCATCTTTTCGCTTATTAGTGAGACCTTCTTGATTTCTGGTTTTATTTCATTCATAAAAACAAGTGTACATGTAAACACCACCTGTTGGTACATTAATACTTGACAAGGTCATTTATGTGAAAAACGGAATAATATAAAAGGAAGAAATTCAAATGTGAATACACAATTTATTAACACTCATCTCAAACAAAAAGAATATCATGATTAACAATAATTACCTTTCTATCATTAGAATCCTCCAAATTTAAGAGGTACGTTAATTTCGTCTTCTAAGATAAAATTGCAGCTAAATAAGACTACTGTAATACGCATTGCCGACAAACAATATTCCTACGACTTTCGCCATTTGGGAAATGTAAACCTTGTCTTTACAGAAATTTCGGCGATTAAATGTTTCATACAATTGTTCTTTGACATCTTAGCCAAAAGTACAGGGGAAAATAAACTACATAAGGATTTCTATTGAGCACTACTTCCTATGTGCAACTTCCAAACTTTTGGGTTGTTCGACGATCATTTAAGGTTTTTCTGGTCATATTTTTTGTATTCCAGAATTGATGGTATGAAAAAAGTGCCCAATTAGTTATTAATAACATATTAGCCAGCTAAATAATAACAACAGCACTTTTTTCACCATTCAGTGGGAAGAACACAAATGTAGGGTGTTAGCATAAGGTAGCTTAACTGCCTAAAAAAGTCAAAGAAAAACAATATATTCAGTATTAAAATTTTTAAAAAATGACATAGAAAAAAACTGAAAAATAATATTGTCTGGTCTCTATTTCTCATCTGATTATCATTAGATTCTGAAAATTCATACTTTTTATCAGCTCTCAATAAGCAGTCAGGGGACTTATTGAAATAAGTGATTTTTAAATCACTTATTTAAGTAGCAAATTCGAAGTTTTGTCACAAATTGTGATTTTGTAGTTTTACCAAAATTTTAAACACATATAGGTTTAGATAATATCTTTTCATTAGTAAAATTGAAAAAAATCAACTTTTTGCTTCTTTTAAGCAGCAAGGTTTATGCCTTTGATGCAATCATTTAGCTGCAAATTCTATTTTAGTTGAAAATATGCTATAATAAAATGCTCCGCAGGGCGCAGCTTGATATGACCGCAGAGGTCGAACCCTGAACAGTTGGGGCATTCACCTATTATGGTCCAATATCCAAAATCTTAATACATGGTTAGATTCAGCATATCAAAGAACCCCAAGAATTCAATTTTTGATGAAATCAAACAAAGTTTAATTTTGGACCCTTTTGACCTCAATGTGGACAAAGTTGATAACGGGGCCCAAAAATCAAAAATCTAAATACATGGTTAGATTCAGCATATCAAAGAACCCCATATATTTAATTTTTGTTGAAATCAAACAAAGTTTAATTTTGGACCCAGATTTGGACCAACTTGAAAACTGGGCCCATAATCAAAAATCTAAATACATGTTTAGATTCAGCATATCAAAGAACCCTAAGAATTCAATTTTTGTTAAAATCAAACTAAGTTTAATTTTGGACCCTTTGGACCTTAATGTAGACCAATTTGAAAACGGAACCAAAAATTAAGAATCTAAATACACGGTTAGATTCGGCATATCAAAGAACCCCAATAATTCAATTTTTGATGAAATCAAACAAAGTTAAATTTTGGACCCTTTGGACCTCAATGTGGACCAATTTAAAAATGGGGCCCAAAATCCAAAAACTAAATACACGGTTAGATTCAGCATATTAAAGAACCCCAAGAATTCAAGAATAAAACCCCATTGAAATTGGTCAAGAAATAAGCAATTTATACGAAGTATCTTCTTTTGCACAATACTGTGCAATTAAATATTTCTTGCTATTGCGCAATACTGTACAATTGACAATTTCTTGCGATTGCGCAATATTGTGCTATTGGATATTTCTTGCTATTGCGCAATACTGTGCAATTGAAGATTTCTTGCTATTGCGCAATACTGTGCAATTGAAAATTTCTTGCTATGCACAATACTTTTTATATAATAATTTACACATCCTGTTTGGTGTGTATCTCCTACCATATCATTATTATTTGCTTTTATATATACTTCAGAAATAACCAACTTAAAATGGAAAATTTTAAAAGAAAAAAGAAGGAAAAAAAGAAAAAAAAAGGAAAAAAAAAAAAATCCCCCCCCCCCAAATTTTTTTAACCCCCTTATGATTCATCACCTCCAAACTCAATCCCAGCCTTCCCTTTGTGGTATGGTACCTTGCAGTACAATTTCAGAGAGATCCATACACTTGAACACAAGTTATTGTCTGGAAACTAGAAAAATTTGTTTTTGGCCCCTTTTTGGCCCCAAATTCCTAAAATATTGAGGCAATTACCCCCATCATCAATCCCAGCCTTCCCTTTGTGGTATGGTACCTTGCAGTACAATTTCAGAGAGATCCATACACTTACACACAAGTTATTGTCCTGAAACTAGAAAAATACTTGTTTTTTGCCCCTTTTTGGCCCCTAATTCCTAAAATTTTTGGCAATTACCCCCATCATCAATTCCAGCTTTCCCTTTGTGGTATGGTACCTTGCAGTACAATTTCTGAGAGATCCATACACTTGAACACAAGTTATTGTCTGGAAACTAGAAAAATGCTTATTTTTGGCCCCTTTTTGGCCCCCAATTCCTAAACGTTTCGGCAATTACCCCCAAACTCAATTCCAACTTTCCCTTTGTGATATGGAACCTTGTAGCACAATTTCAGAAAGATCCATACACTTACACACAAGTTATTGTCATGAAACTAGAAAAATGCTTGTTTTTTGCCCCTTTTTCCTAAAATTTTGAGGCAATTACCCCCAAAATCAATCCCAGCATTCCTTTTGTGATATGGAACCTTGTGGTACAATGTCAGAGAGATCCATACACTAACACACAAGTTATGTCTGGAAGTTACAAAAATGCTTATTTTTGGCCCCTTTTCGGCCCCTAATTCCTTTACTGTTGGTACCATAACCCCCAAAATCAATCCCAACCTTCCTTTTGTGGTATTGAACCTTGTGGTAAAATTTCATAGAGATCCATTCACTTAAACTAAAGTTAGAGTGCGAAAACCAATGTGTCTTCGGACAACGCCGGACGACACCAGTTTTTTGCGGTCGTATAAAAATGGCTTTACATAATGAACTGATACTTTCTAAACAGATTTTTCCCAGCAGTGGGAGTATTTTTCCTGTAAAGTTCAAGGTTTCATCTTATAGATTATGTAATAAAATTCTACTGTTCCCCATCAAAATTTCACTGTTTGGGGTGTTGAAATTAGTGGAGGTTATTAAAATAATGATACTTAAAGAAGTGATTTTTTGGAAGGAAATTGAGGTATGATACTTAAATAAGTGATTTTTATGTCATTATCCTAGATTTAGTACAAGGTCATCACCTGACATGACCCGGTCATCCTATCAACACAGATGTTGGTTCTGATAATTTTAGCAACATAATTAGTCCCTGGATCATTAGTATTCTATATTTAAAGCTACAATAAAATTAAATCACTAAGTCTAGTGATTAATTTGTACTACTTAAATAGGTGATTATTAAAGAAAGACAACTCTTACTTCCAACCTTTATGGACATAATGTTACTTGAATCAGTGATTTAGAAACTGATAAGTTAAGCAACAGGAAATACTCAATTTAATTACAAAATTACCACTTTGAACTTTTCTAATTAATTCTCAAGTATATGGTTGATGTATTATATATATATATATATATATATATATATAAATTATGAAAGTTGTGACATTTCCTTTCATCTCAGTTTAACTTTTAATGTCTGAATGTTGTTAAAAATTATTTAATCTTTTTATTTCAGTAGTTCTCTACAAAACCGTGAAATCTATATTTAAAATTACACAATTATCATGCTTTATCAACACACAACATAGCTTAATTAGATCATTACAGTATTTACTTCAAACAATTTTAATATACACCCTTTTTCTAGTATTGTAGTATTTTTTTAGAAAATAAATGGAGAATGTGTCCCCATGGACACAGATGATGCCCCCGCTTGCATACAGCATTATAAAGGGACATACTCAAGAATGATAAAAATGACGCTACCCAAATTTGTACTTGATCTGAGTTTTGTGATCTCATAATGTTTGGTTGGGACAAACTTAAGTTACAGAACAGAAACTAAAAATATTGCAATTTTTCAATTTATAAAGGGGCATAACTCGATAATGATTAAAGTGAAGCCACCAAAATTCAACTTGATCTATATTTTGTGGTAAAAAGCATTGTGTATAAGTTTCATAACATTTGGTTGAGGCAAACTCATGTTAGAGAACAGAAACTAAAAATTTTGTAATTTTTCCATTTATAAAGGGGCAGAACTCTAGAATGGTTAGAGTGACACTACCAAAATTCAAACTTGATCTGCATTTTGTGATAATAAGCATTGTGTATAAGTTTCATAACATTTGGTTAAGGCAAACATAAGTTAGAGAACGGAAACTAAAAATTTTGTAATTTTTCCATTTATAAAGGGGCAGAACTCTAGAATGGTTAGAGTGACACTACCAAAATTCAAAGTTGATCTGTATTTTGTGATAATAAGCATTGTGTATAAGTTTCATAACATTTGGTCGAGGCAAACAAGTTAGAGAACGGAAACTAAAAATTTTGTAATTTTTCCATTTATAAAGGGGCATAACTCTAAAACGGTTAAAGTGATGCCACCAAAATTCAAACTTGATCAGTGTTTTGTGGTAATAAGCATTGTGTATAAGTTTCATAACATTTGGTTGAGGCAAACTCAAGTTAGAGAACGGAAACCAATTTTGGGACGCATGTTCGTACAGACAGACTTAATGGTATATGCAAGATGCTCAAATATCTCTTTAAAACATTTTGTGAAAAAAACTGCATTATCTCAATTGGTTTATATCACTATATGGCATACGGTGGATTATACCTCATTTGAGGTATAATCCACCAATTAATGGTTACTCCCGACCTGTTGTCAGTCTTTGAACAGTTTTCTCTAGGAGTTGAACCACATGACTTTGAAATCTTAGCAATAAAGGTCTATAAATATGTCAAACTCGACTACCACACTTAGAGTTTCTCTCCAAGAGAGGATCACTAGTTTTAGTGGTTAATTGAAGTAAAACTATGTTAATAATTGACGGATAGCGTTTATTCCGACCAAAAAGGTCCCGATTCAAAATAAGTTGTTGTAGTGTTGATCAGGGATACTCATTCTATGGTTTTTATGAATAGCAACTACTAGCCACCTCAATATTGAAAGTAAATATTTTCTCTACCTTGCTCATTGTTAGTCAATTTTTTTTCTTGTTGTTACGCATGCCCTTGAAGCCGGAAACTGGAATTGTAAACAATGGAATCATTCCGAACGGACACCTGCATTATTTTACTCGTTTCCAAGGGAATCTGGTTAGTTTTACTGTGCATAATTGCCTTTCCTAGAGCCTGCCAGAATCTTTTTTTTTATGTCTCTGCTTTTACCAGTGTATACAGCATACTAATAAGCATAATAATGTCAGAAAATTGGTTTATTTATCTGTGGGTTGAGATTGCAGAGCAAGCACGACAAATACAGAGAAGATCAAGTAATTATATTAGCTCTTCAAAAAGCTTGTCTGACATTAGCATCAAATACTGGAAGGTGGTGCAAGTTCTGGCAGAGACATATATATGTCTTTAGTATATATGTCTCTGGTTCTGGTATAGGTTTAGGACTTCAGTTGAGGAGGGGCTTACTTATATTGTATTTTAGATTGGGCTATCTATTGTTACAAAAATTCAGTAAAGAATTTGGAATCCCGTTTTGTGATATGTAAATGTTGTTTTATTGTACATGTCTATATATATAACAGATTATTATAATTATTAATTATCACATTTTTGGTTAAGTTTTGGTCAGGAGACTTTTAGTTCTGTAAGACAATTCATATGACCTAGCTGTTTGAAATATATTAATGCCTTCTTTGATAATTCCTTGTAAATGTAAAATACAGAAACATATACATACTAAGGAAAGAAATCAGTTTTTTTCTAATACAAGAAGAAGGACTACAAGTGAATTAATTCTATATGCCCAATGAAAAAAAACCAGCCCACTGGAAACCAGAACACATATGTATTAGACGATTGGTACAATAATGAGGAAAAGGTAAAAACACATGTGATTTAAAAATTACACAATTTTTATATAATACATCACTCTGAAAAAAAACCTTTAAAAATTTAAACAGCCAACACATGGAAGCCAAACTGTGATTGAAACAGATGTTCCCTGAATGAATCTGAATTGATATATGTTGGATGTTGTGATTTCAGACCAGATGAAGCTACAATTCCAAAAAAGACAAGTTTTTAAATCATCAACTTTGAGATAGTAAGCTCTTTAGATATAGAAAATCTATAAACCTTTCCAATTTCAAGTTTGCTGAAAAGCTTCAAACCTATCCAATTCCTTTTTTTTATATCAAGCTTTTTAAAAGGCTATTAGTTGTCTTAATAAAATTATTTCAGTTAAAAATATAATTTTCCAATTTGAATTCTAATGGTCAAATTGAAAGTCCAGGATTAAATTTTTAACATAACTAAACTAATTTTACAAAGTTCAAAATGTAATTTAAGTATGTAAATATTTTTGCATAAAGTATGCATTCAATGGCATACAAGCTATTTTACTTTTCATTTGCCAATCATGTTTTTTTTTATTAGGAAAGAACACTGTTTGATTTAAAAAAAAATCTGTTCACTTTACATTGAAAAAAATTATGTCTTTGGCCTTGAGAGGGAACCGAGGGTCACATGTCCAACAAATAGACGATACCTCATCATACCAGGTCACGTCAACATTGTTGCTGAAGGGATTTTGCGAAGAAATTCATAAAAACACCAGGCAGGAATAAAACAGTAGCAGTGAAAACAGATATTTAAAAAAATATTTGCAAGAAAATGCATAACTTGTCTTATATAAATTGGTAAAAATAAAAATAAAAACTTCATGCTAAGTACTTTGGAATATGCACATTGCAGATAATAAATATTTATGCATGACATCATGAGTTATAAGTGGAAATTACCGAATGTCGCGAAGTTGCAAGCATGACGAACTTGTAACATCGATGAATAGTTCCAGGTTTGGTTCATTTTTATCCGATGAAAATAAGCTCAAACACATCGCTAATCTAATATTGGGTTGCAAGTCAATATGTCATCCTCATTTGAATCCATATTCATGCAACCTTTTTTTAGATGTGTTGTGCGTAAGCTTCGGATTGTCAGTGATTGAAAAGAATTAAACTTGGGAAGGCTGCAGCGAGAAAATTGATTTTCTGCTTGATTCGACCCGCAAAATATCAGTCTCTTTCAGTAATAATAGATAAAAAATAACTTTATAAGTTGTATGAGTCCGAAGCGCATTTCTAGATAGACATTAAGAAGGAATGCTAAAACCAAAACATTGCAGGCCATGGATATATAAATGTGTAGAAACGTAAGGCAGGTCATTAATAGACGATTTACATTTAATTTATATGTTTTTTATCATGAAATGAGATCAAACAGAACCAGAGACATATATACACATGTGTATAGACATATATACACATGTGTATATATGTGTCTGACAGAACCAAGAAAATCGACATTGTCTATTGGTATTTTATCTTTACCTGTCTGTTAATTAATGGGGTCCCATTTCAAGGAGGTAGAAATTTACATGTCAATGGGTCACAAAAATTCATCTTTTGTTAAGAGGTCTGTAAAGGCTGTCTTTCCCAAATTTGTATGTTGAGAACCCTCCGTGAAGCAAAGTCAGCACAATATAGCGACAAAAAACAACACAGACAAATCCGATGCAACAAAGAGCTAGATAAAAAAAACTGCTGTCCTGATATACTATGAGTCGACAGCCACAAGGAGGGGAAAATTATATGCCTTTCTAAGAATATCAAAATAAAAAGTCTTCAAATTTAGTTTTTTCGTTAAGTTTAAATTTATATACAATGTACATATATTTCATTTTATTGTTTTGATAGATATTGAACAAGACAACCAAGCAAAATACAACTATATAGTATCATGAGTTTAAGAGGAAATTAACATGGTATTTGGTTTTGGAAAGATTGACATCGGAAAAGTCATAGCATTCCTGGTTTCAATTATAATTCTTATTCAAATCTGGCACATAGGCATGTTGACAAAACATGAAAGGTTGACATTTCCAAACAATCAGAAGAACGAAGGAGAGCATGGAAAAATTCGATTGTTGATATCAAAAATTGAAAACGCACATGTACTGGATAGCAGTGGTTCTTATAATATTATCACAGATATTTTCCGCCATGAGGATTCAAGTTCAACTTTACAGAATGATGTAACACTGGTTTCTCAGACATCAAGCAATAATTTAAATGATGTGATTGCCCTCAGTGAAAGATGGGATGGTGCAATCTCAATTTCCGTTTTTACGCACTTTACAGATTTCCAATTTGCTATGAACAAGCTTATACATCTGCATGTATGCTTTCCCAAAATACAAAATCGTGTTCATTTCCATCTCGTATATCCTTTAAATAATGACATTCCGCTAGACAAATTAAAACAGAATTTTGTTAGCTCTAATTGTGAGATTTCAATGAAAACTTTTCACAATCAAAATTATGAAATTGAAGGAATAGAATACCCACATAATCTTTTGAGAAACACAGCAGTGAAATTTTGTAAAACAAGCTATGTGTTTCTTATTGACATAGACATGCTTCCAAATAAATATTTGCGAAAAGAATTTAACATGTTTGTACAATCTTTTAAAAATGATTCTGTTGTGTTTGTTGTGCCTTCCTTCGAATCAAAAGATGATGTCGCAATTCCAATTGACAGGACACAACTTTTAAGGAATTGGAGATTAAAGAAAATCAGACCGTTTTATTTTGATGTTTGTCGAAAGTGTCAAAGGCCTACAGACTATGATCAGTGGCAATATCTACCAGACTCTAGTCATTTAAATATAGCTTACTTTGTACAACGGGACGATGTTTACGAGCCATTTTATATCGCCAAGAAAGATATCCCATTGTACGATGAACGGTTCAAACAGTATGGATACAATAGAATTAGTCAGGTATGATGCACATACATGCACATTTTCGAGAATAGAATTTTCTTTTATATGTATTTACACTGATTAATACACTACAGTGGCGAATCCAGAAATTTTCATAAGGGGGGCCCACTGACTGCCTAAGAGGGGACCCACTCCAGTCATGATTCAGTGGTTCCCTAAATAATCAACCAAATTTCCCCCACAAAACGGGGGGGGGGGGCTGGAAACCCCTCTAAATCCGCCTCTGCACTAACAAGGTCATCAACCTACTTCTTCAGAAGAAAAAAAACTAAATGAAAAAAAAGACATATACAGTACATGGCAATATACGGTCGTTATGAAAGGCCTTTATTTCTTTGCGAATACTTAGACGACACCTTTATTTCAGCTATCACGGTTAGATATATGTGGAAGATACCAGGACTAAACTTTTGTACGCCAGACATGTGTTTCGTGTACAAAATACCCATAAGTGATGCTCGAATAAAAAAAGTGGTAGTAAGCATGGTCATCTTATTCTAGACCCTTAGTTATATGTACATCTGACATTGATTTGTTTTAATTAATTGTTTGCAACAGTGCCATATAGCAACAAAATTAGTGATTCCGTATTAATTATTATGCCATGTAAAATGATCTAAAATATATCGTCGGTAGACTTTAAAATGGTTTTGTATTTTTTTTAAGATTATTTTTAATTGTTTTGCAGGTATGTGAAATAAACATTGCTGGCTACAATTTTGGGGTTTTAAACAACGCTTTTCTTATACATAAAGGATTCAAATACAGAGACGGCTTCCATAAAAACAAAGAAATAGAGAATAACAGGAATAGAGACTTGTTTCAACAGTTTAAAAGAGAACTCAGAACAAAATATCCAAATTCAAAACGTTCTTGTTGATATTTTCCATGAATTTACACACTTGTTTATGAAATATTTAGGACAAAATGAAAATTTTTTATATTTACATAAATATTTATCTGGTCGACGATTTTATTTCAGTATTGAGAAATAGGAGCAGCCAAAGCAACTTTAAACACTTCGAATCTTGAAGCGTTGATTTGTTTGAGATGGCAACAGGATGTCCACTTGATTTGTTCTCGATTTCTTTCAAAATGTCAAGAACCTGTTCATAGTGCTAATAAAAGAAATGTCAAAAAATTATGTCGAGAGGTCCACATGATTTAAAAGTATCGACAGCCACCGTTTTTTCCTGATCGAAAATACTCTCCTCGTCATACAACATATCAAATTCGAATTGATTTTTAACTGGCAGGTTCAACTTTGATTTCATTATGTTCTTTCTTTTATTGGAGACAAATGTTAAACCAGGTATTTTCCCAAGAATTGCCATGAAATTTCTAATAGCCGGGACAGTTAGACATAGTTTGAACTTTATATATTAATTTTTTATCATAAGGCTGGCTTTCATACGGAAGTAACAAAAACTTACTGTTCAATTAGCCGATATATGCGTTTCGCTTTGAACATGTTTATGACGTTACTAGCGGTTCGACTGAGGTTACCGGACCCTGCTAACTTGCTTGTCCCATAGTGTAATATAAAACGTACTTTTTACCTTTTTTTTTAATTCGGAAAACTTTGTCGTTGCCCTTTTCATAATTTTTTAAATTGTAACACCATGATATTCGTTTTGACTATCAACATTATATATATATATAAATGCACGTCAACTTGAAATTGTATTCTGCATGAAATTATTTTCCTACGTCTTAAACTGTAAGCATTACATAAGGTTAACTTTATCAAATCCTTTATTCTCTCTTGTGTGCGTTTGAACCTCACAATACAACAAAATCACCTAAAAACGAGCACGACAACTCTCTTTTTTTTATCCCTTTTCCGAAACATGATGTTCTGTTTGGTTACCAGTTGCTGTCCATTTAAAAGGGGAAAAGCGCCCATCTTTATCCTTTAGAGAATCAATGAGAACGAAACGAATTCACCCTTTGTGATTACTAGTACCTTCTTTTTCCTTAATCTAAATGTCTGTTCATGAAAATGTGTTTATATGCATTTCTGAATTCATCATCTGTTTATACATATATATTACAGGAATAAAGCAGAATACGTTAGTTTTCTCGTTTGAATTGTTTTAAATTTGTAATTTAGGGGCTTTTTATAGCTGATTATACGGCATGGGTTTTGCTCATTGTTGAAGGTTATACGGTGACCTATAGTTAACTTCAATGTCATTTGGTCTCTGGTGGAGAGTTGCCTAATTGGCAATCATACCACATCCTATTATATACACATAATCTATATATAAAAGCAACACAATTATCATATGGAATATTGTTGTGTAAAGATAAAATGTTACTCATTTAAAGCTTTGTGCATACTGCTAATTTCTCAATATTTTAATGAAATTATTGTATCAACAAACCAAATAAGAGTCAAACTGGTCAAAGACAATAAGGTATTATAAGACTTTTATAAACAAAAAGTACTGTCTGACCGTCCTAATACTTTATTTTTTGAGAGTGGCTATATGGTGAATACAATGTTGAAAATTAAAAAGAATTTAAAGTTAAAAAGTTAAATAAGTTAAACGAGTAAACATACTGTATATGTATATATTGATATTATGTATGTGGTTTATTACAGAATGTGAACTCCTACACCAAAATACATATGGTCCATTTTTGTTCAAGTAAAGTGGCTTGCACCAGATATGTATGTGCAATAAAACAAAAGACTTTTTCCAATTTCATGTAAACAGCTATTATGCCTTAGATTGAAACAAAACATAAGCTCATTGTATTTGCCGTAGTCACTTTCAAAACAGTTTCAAAATGAACGAAAGTAACAAACTTCCATCCCGTCTTTGTGGCTGGCATTTATTGGTATATCATGAATTTGTAAAGAAGACTTTTAGAATGTCTTTAAAGTCTTGCCCGTCATAGTATTTTACCGTTACGTTATGACTATCATGCAGACCTGCTATCATACTGGACAGCTCTAAAAAGGAAAAACAAATCTAATAGTCTGAATTTTACAAATACAACAAAATGAATGCGTAAACAGCAGATTATCTAGTTACATATATTCAACTTTATTAACAATGCATTTCCATTTACTGAGGTAAAGATACAATATTTGTAATCTTGTTTATTTTTCACTTTCAAGTTTGTTTTTTTTTCGATATCAACATATAATCACGTTAGGTTTTAATTACTGCTGACAGAAATGACCTGAAACATCTGACTTTATATTTTACTGACCGGTATTCTATTTCCACACTTTGTAAAATATTGATCCGGCTTTTGAAGTGATTTTTCATTATTAAAATATTGCTGTACAAATGTATCTTTGATATAATTTTAAAACTTGACAGCCTAACAATGATTGTGGTTACAATTTGCCATGTGCATGGTTTCAGATTTATAAAGGCGAACGCCTTGTAATACGTAATCTGCATACTAAACTGAATCATCGGAACGAGTTTTGTGTTTTTGGTCAGATTTCAATTTAGTAGATTTTCTAGTCTGTCAGATAGAATGTGTGAGGGAGTATCCAGAGCATCAGGTCAAATACTATTGTAGAATGTTGTGTAGAAAGTGGTGGAAGGCTGCATTGTTGAAGAGCTCTCGATAAAATACAGGATATTGTTATCAAAGATATTTTATTAGATTTATTAAAACAATTTCCTGCATATCTTTTGCTTTGTTTAAAAGTAGTAAAAAATCTAGACTAAACAACATACTTCTTCCTGAGTTAGGTCGGAAAAGGCACAGGATTTTCTTATCCATTCCAACTGCTCTTCCGATCTCATAACCAACACCAAGCGATGGCTGTGTTACTTCTGCAATTAAAACTAAAATGGAAATTTTAAGCAGTAATATTATTAAATAAAAGTAATTGTTTATGCTTTTCAAATTGGTATTCCGTTTAGTTACAAAAAAAATGTCGATGCATATTTTTAATCACCTGGTCCATTTTGAGAGAAAGAAAAAACACAATATCAATAATCATTCATAACGTGAGTTTGCCACTCGTGATCTTATACATATTTCCCTCAGATATTACAGTAGTTAAACCAATTAGACCGATACCAAACTTGAGTTATTATCGGGTATGACAGCAAGCCGATTCGAAACATGACGCGACAAAAGCAGGACACTTACTCTTCCGTAGCATTAACGGCTTAGGGGGGGGGGGGGGGGGGTCTGTTTGCTCAGGAATTGTTGGAAATGAATTGTTCGCTGTTAGTTTACGTCGTAGCGTGTTTATCCCGACACCAGTCTTTAAGCTTTTGATTTGACTATTTTATGTATTTCCCTGACCATCCCGACTTTCGATCCTATATTAACATAGCCTGTTTTGTATCAAAGACATCTTTATTTCTCTAATTCTGTATTCATTTTGAACGTGGTAACAAATACGAAAATTTTGCTTTTTTCCGACAATTCTTTGAATATAAACGATACAATTTTCTATCATATTTGCCACCAGAATCGTTTTCTTTAAAATTGGGGTGAAATTTTAATGTTTAGACTATGTTACGTCACTACAGTACGTCGATTAAATGAATCGATACCCGAACATATCACCACATGTTGTAATGTTTGCAGTGTCCGTTTTGTGAACACTAGACATAAGATGAGCGTAGAGACGCTTATTTTATTTTGTTTTACATGGTCACACTTTACAGATTTTATTAACAGGGATGTGCTCCTTACACAAAAACTGCTCCAAATGAGTTACGAGGGTTCTGACTGAAATAGAAAGTTTTATGGTCACCATCACGAAAGGGTTGCCGATACGATGTGTCTTTGTCTGAAAACACTAGCAACATGTTTTCGAGGCCTTTGATTTATAGATACCAGAATAATCGTCTGATATTTAAATTTACCGATTGTGTCATATTCCCAATTTTGACATTTGGGCTGAGTGTGGATTCGCACGGCGGATGGTACAAACATTATAGGAGAAGCTTATCCTTTCGACATCCCCAGTCAGTCTTGCTCCCCTCATTTTTTATACCTTAATTTGTATCTTTAAGTAAATGGATTAGATTTGAACATCGGTAAACTACTGTTGCCTCTAATTTAGACTGCACTTAAATGTCTTCCTATTGAAACAGAAATGTTTTCATCGGTATTTTATTAGATATTAATGAAATTGTTTAATGCGCATCTGTTCAGTAACATTGTTGTACTGTTAATGTTATAACACATTATTCTACAACACATGGATACAACTTTTTTGCAAATTCGTAAAATAAACAAGCCCTCAAGAATAATACAAAATTCGTCTTGCGGATTTGAATAGCAACGAATATCCTCAAAAGCCTTATCAGGGCCGTAGCGTAATGGAGGCAACTGAGGCAAATGCCTCACTTTTGAAACGACGACCAAACTTTAGAAGTGTCATTTTTTTTTTCAATTATGTATTTTACATTATCAATATGCGAGTTTCGAGTTTCAAATTATCTACCGGCACACTACATACAGTGTGTCCACTCTGCAGCAGCGATTGTAGCTTTTACCATAGCGGTGACGGTAAAAAAATAAGTGTTCCGAATACAAATCAAAATAAAAAAATTGAAACACAAATCTTAATGTCGTTACAAAACTGGTTGAAGACGGGTTCTTTAAAAAGAAAAAAAGATGAAAAAGGTAACTCATGAGTATAAACACTCCCTATAAGTATGCTGGCTTATTCCTTTCCTTGGTTTATTTTTGAATCGATAACGCTATAGTTACCAATGTTTACACTATGATCAACTCACTGAACAACAAATGCTAATCGATAAAATAATTCATTGACCAAAAATATAATAATTAGTTATAATTAATTTAAACAAAATCATGAAGCACCTTTTCTATGGAAGTCTTTAATGTATAAGGCAATTCATGATTTTTATTTATCGGAGAATCGGAAAGTTTTGATTGACCAACAGAGATTAACTTTAATATTGAAACTTGTTTTGTTACTTACTAGGCTAGCTAATAACAAAAAAACGCATTTCTGTTATATTTTTTTTTGTTATTTATTATAACTACATTGACCTCTCCCATAGTAATGCTGAAATAAGCTTCTCCCGTTTCAGGCACCCGAACCCCCCTAAAAAAAATTTCGCTTCGCTCGGCTCAAAAATTTTTCGCCTCGCTACGCTCGGCGATTTGCCTCAGTTGATTTGGACATGCGCTACGGGATTGCTTATTTTGACACAATTTTAACACCTTTTGCCTAAAACTCGGTTTGTAAATTTAAGGCAGTTTTTTTCTTACACAAACTTTCATTTCGATTTTCAAAGCTGAAGTAGTACTGAAACCCGTGATCTTCCTCACATATATGTATGTTTACTTACCATCGGAACTTTTTAATTTGGTCAAACATAACTGATGCACTTCTTTACTTCCCATTTTGATTTCATCTATAATATTTAACAAATTGTTTTTAATATGCTGAGCCTCCATTAATCGCATATGCTGAAATTGATCATTGGTATTGATATTGATTCCTTAGACTATTCATGATATCTTTTAAAAGTACAGTGTCCGGTATATCAAGATAGGAATGCAAAATTCATAATCAACAGCTTTAAATTTTTTATCTCGAGATAAAAAAAAAAATATGAATGCTGATAAAGCACAAACCTGTTACTCATTGATGCATACGATACATCTTTCGTATTCATATATAATCTTGTAACTCATACAAGAAGGACTTTTGAGTGGAGTAGCTCCAGGACCTTTGCAAGGAATAAGGACCATTTTAATAACTCCCTGTGTGATACGTGACATATATAACATATTGGAAGTTAATTTTTTTGCCCCTATCAAATATGCATAATATCTGACATAAAGTTTCATGCCGTAAGTCGATTGGCTGACTCGGCTGTTTTTTAAAACATATAATTGCAGATATGGCTAGCACATTAGGGATGAGAACACTATTAACTTTTTAAAAAGTAGTCCAAATTAACAGACCGTCATTCCGACCGAACCACTGTGCAATGCTTACCCTTATTAATAGTTTTTAGGTCTGGATAGGGTTTACAGAATAGGGAATAATGACAAAAAAATTAATGAATAGAGAAAAATGAGCAAAAAATAAAAGAAAGAAAAAAAGAGAGTAATGGGGTGTAAAAGAATAAAGAATAACTGTAAAAAATAAAGAATTAGGTTTATAAAATATTGTTATACCTTGTTCAACTGTTGGCGATCCAACGAATTCTGTCAGTACTTCACCATACTTAGATTTCAGTTCATCAATTATAGTAGCGTACAGCTCTGCGTCTTGTCTACCACCTTGAACACTTCCACAGAAGTATATCTTCATTTTCACACAGGGACTGTGTTGTAATTTATAATTTGTGTCAGCTAAAACATGGGATAGGAAATAATAGAAAAAAACCCGAAGAGTGATTTTGTTGTTAACTTTAACTTTTAGTATACAGTAAAAACAACTTTGATCTTAAACAATGAATTATATCAGTAATAGTTATACACCGAGGGATAGGTGTGTCTGGATAAGAAACCCCGACGGCCGGAGGCCGGAGGGGTTTCTTATCCAAACACGCCGTATCCCGAGGTGTATAACTAACTTACACCTAATGCTAAACCCTATATTTGTTAACATTGATTATTAAATGAAAAAGAACGGATAGCATATTTATTGACAAAATCAAACCATGATTTATAAGAAAAACATTTTTTTACATGAAACCCCACTAGTAACCTTACTTTGGCTATGTTCGTTCAAACTTTGACAAGTGAGTAGATTTTACAAATGTCAAAGTTACTGTTTTGCATATTCCCGTTAAATACTGGTGCTAATAACAGTGGTTTGATTCCGCCAGTGTACTTTATCCGGAGGAAGAAAATCCCAGTGATTTTTATCCACCAACAAAAATTCACTAGGTTTTTCTATCCGGGTCCAGTGTAAAACATCCACCGATCATTATAAGGTTCTAAAAAGGGTTTTTTGAAGGGGAAACATATATAAAATGTGACTTTATAGTTTTTAGTGTATTTGAAACTTGCATAAATGATTTTTGTAAAAAGTGGAGAGTTTTCATCCAAGGAATGCATGTTCACACTAGTGTTTTTAAACAAGGAATGATTACACTAGTGATTTTGTACCGGAATGATTGCACTAGTTATTTTATACCGGGATTAAATACACTAGTGCTTTAGATCCATACATTGATGAAGTGATTAGTACTCATTTTCAACACACGATAACACAATAATGCTTATTAACGAATAAGATTTAAATAATTTTTCTATGCAAATCTTTAAAATCATATGCTTTTAAATTGTCACTAATTGTAATATTTATATTTATTGGATTGTTCGAAGTTTTTCTGTGTATTTGCTTTTCGGTCAACTTCTATAATTGAAACTTTATGTAAGAACAAATCTGCTCTTAAAATTTGGTTTATATCAAGTTCAATGTCTTGATCATTGATAAATTATTTTGAGTTATAAAAACATCCTCCTCATCATCATCAATATTATTTATAATTACTAGATTGACTCAGATTAATTAAAATGGTTCCTTTAAAATCATTTTATTTATTTATGTAAGCAATAAACCTGTCTAATATAAACAAAACAACGATATCAAGATCGACGCTTTCACACTATTTACATCCAATATTCTCTAGTGAAAAACAGTTACCCGGAATAAATACACGGCGGAATGAAAGTACGCTTACATTAAATATGGATCAGCAGTTCAAGGTTGACCGTTTCGTGCATTCTATTTACAAAAAAAAAAAAAAAAAAAATACATCATGCTCCTTGTATGCAGTTGTCAATATGGAAGGGTATAAGACGGACGACATTTTGAGTCAAGCGTTGGATTTGGTAGAAGAGACTAAAGATAAAAGACAATATTATAACCCAAAGTACTTACCTGTGTCAGTTTAATGAAGGTAATCATAAATGTATTTTTTATGTTACGGTTTTATAAAAGAAAAAAGAAGCCCCCCCCCCCCTTCTCGAGAATAAACAAACATTCATATTCGGACATACTGAGAGATAGGTGTGTCTGAATTAGAAACCCGACGACCGGACACGCTGAACATACAAAAATACAGATTGAATATTTAGGAACTCCCTTTGGGGGGGGGGGGGGGGGGGGGGGGGCAATCCGGGGGGGAGGGGTCCGGGAGTTAGAATCCCTGTTTTTTTAAGATCAATGCTTTAGAATAGTAGAATAGAGACATATGACTGGGATCAAAAATTTTACCTTCAAGCAAAGGAGTATTTAGGGAGCAACCATTTTAACTTCAAAAGGGGGGGGTATGGTTTTTTGTCGGAGTCAGAATTTTTTTTTCTCGCAAATCGCGAACAATTTTATTTAGTTTTTCAACGCTATCAATCAAATTATTTTTCCCTTAAAAGTCTTTTTTTTATTCAAAATAGATGCTTAATATTTTTTTCGCTATTGGAATTTCCTAAAATGTGTTTTTTAATATCTTGAAACAACTTGTAGTGAAAACTATTAGTAATTTCTTATGTTCATGCTATTTAAAAAATAATCGATTTCTATTGTAATGAATAACAATGGACAGTGTGTTCAGGATGTAGAATCAGGGGTTTCCAGAAACCCCGCTCGTCACACCTTGTGGTCAAAATCCATTGTTATTCGCAACAATAGATCTATTCAATTTACACTTGTTTCAGAAATAGAAACTATGAAGTATAACAATAGAACTGGGGTGTAAAATGTATTATTAGTTAAAAAAGCAAATATTAGAATATTATATAATAATATGACAGCCATCTAAATAAATATTAGAACAAAAGTACACAACACCGTTGCACATCTTTATGTTGAAACTGCTACACTTTTTTGATTTACGAACAAAAGAAAAAAAAGAAAGAAAGAAAACATTATTAGGAGATAAATCTTACCTGATGGCGATGTTGTCGTACTTAATGTGATGTCTTCAGGATAATCAGTCTGGAATCATCATTGATTTTAATATCATCTATAAAAATTGTACAATATGAATACACTTTGCATATAACTTGAACTGTTAAAAGGAATTAAGATTTACATAACAAAAACCGGAAAAAAAATTACTCTACTACCGGTAATTTTAAATTTCTCATGTAAAGAATCTTGTTTCGTCGTCTTTGAAATACAAATTCATGCAACAGTACAATGTAAAGATTAATTTATTATGCGTGACATGATGACAAATTTAATAGTAATTATTATATTTTCTTGAAGTGATGCATTATTTATATGTTTCTGTTCTATCTATACGACAAGGCTTAGTTTCCTTACTCGATTCAAGCAACTGACTCACTTGTGTTTTGTACTCATATGAAGCAGAATTCATACAAAACCTTTCCAAAGAAAGAAAAAGCATCATTCAAAGTTCTTTAATTTCATTATTTATGATGACCTGTCTCTCAGTAACCCACATGTCAGTGAGTGTTTACATCTCATATATCCCAGTGAACTTGAGATTAAGGATACTACCTAAACTAGAAGATCTTCTTCATATCTTAATCTTTTTTCTCCAAATTGACACAGATGGACGATTTCAAACTAGAATCTATGACAAACGTGATGATTTCAATTTTCCAATTGTCAGCTTCCCATGTCTCAGCAGTAACATACCCTTTGTAGCATTGCATTGCGTAGTCCATTTTTGGTAATATCCTTTTGGCGTGGCTCGATATTTATACATCCCGTGATTGTGTTATTGTGCTATGGTCATTTTTTATTTTCTTGTCTTTCATTTTTGCCTATGGGCGTTGTCTATAGTGTCTATATGCCATTTGTTTTCCTTCTTGACATATATGTTTGTTTTTATAGTGATTAAGATTGTAGCACAATGTTGACTGCTGTACCCCAATTTTTGTCTCGCCTTGAAGGAGTCAAAAAGCGAGAAATAGGTATGCTGTTTCCGGCGTCGGCGGCGTCAACAATGTATTAGGTTGTGATTAGGTCTAGTTTATGGCGAACCACTAGTGGTAGGTCAATGATATTTGGTATGCAGTTGTATTAGCATTGGCACATCTCATTTCCATGGAGATTATTTGGCCCTGCCCCCACAGTCATGGTCTATTGACTTTGTTACTTTTGCTTAGTTTACATGTACATGTATTAGTTTGTGATTAGGTAAGTTTATGGGGAACCACTAGTGGTAGGTCAGTGATATTTGGTATGCAGTTGTATAAGAATTGGCATATATCATTTCTCCGCCCCCTCAGTCATGTTCTGACTTTGAAACTTTTACTTAGTTTACATGTACGAGTTTGTAATTAGGTCAGTTCAAAGGGAACCATTAGTGGTAGGCCGATGTTAATTGGTATGCAGTTGTATAGCATTAGCACATCTCATTTACATGGAGAATATTTGACCCCGCCCCCTCAGTCATGGTCTATTTGACTTTGAAACTTTTGCTTAGTTTACATGTATTAGTTTGTGATTAGATCAGTTTAAGATGAACCGCTAATGTTAAGTCAATGATATTTGGTATGCAAATTTATTGGCATTTGCAAGTCTCTTTTCCATGGAGATTATATAGCCCCACCCCCTCATCATGGTTCATTGACTTTGAAACTTTTACACAGTTTACAAGTTAATGTTTGTTTTTAGGTTTGTTTAAAGGGAACGACTTATGATAAGTCAATGGTATTTGTATTAGCATTGGCACATCTCATTTCCATAGAGATTGTTTAGCCATGTACCTTCAGTCATGGTTCATTGACTTGAATATTTGCATAACTTACATGTTAAAGTATTGCTATTTTATTTCAACATTTGCATTTTACTATCAAAATTGCAAAATGGCGAGACATATCTCTGTGTAAACAGTTTATTGACATTTTGTGCCTATTTTGTCTGTTTGTTTTGTCATTGTTGTCAATATAATGGAATTCTATGCGACTGTCATACAAGTGAGAGGTTTAGCTAGCTATAAAACCAGGTGTAAACCACCATATTCTACATAAGGAAAAGCCGGTACCAAGTCAGGAATATGACAGTTATTTTCCATTCGTTTGGTGTATTTGAGATTTTGCTTTGAATATTCATTGAAGTTCGATATTTTTGTTATTTTACTTAATACATATTAAATAAATATATTACGCTCGTGTGCATATCCACACTTTATGACTCTATTAACAGGTGTGTGTTCCTGGCACAATAAAATGATGCAACACATGTATGAGGTGGAACGACTGAAATCGGCAATACATAGGTTTTACCGTCACCATCACGAATTGGTTGACCGATACGATGTATGATTAGTGTTTCAACCTATTAGTTGCATGTTTTGCGGTCTTTAGATACCAAAATAAACGTCTGAGTTGGAAGTTAGTCGATTGTGTCCGCTTTTCCCAGTTGAAATAGTTTGACTGAATAAGGACTCGCCTGGCGGTTGATGCTTGTAGGATAAGCTTACCCTGTTGGCGCAACCAGTCTCGCTCCTTTTTTGAGTTCATACGACCCTCATGTTTTTTTGTTTTTTTTTACCTTGACCATCTTAATGAGACTAGAACATCGGTAAACTACAGTTGTCTCTAATTTAACCAGCGACATCCTAAAATAATTCTTCTTGGGGAAACAACTAATGCCCATTGAAGAATATATGTCAAAATTAAAAAAAATCTTCCAAAATGGGATAAAGTTATAGCTGTTACTGTATTATACGATTCTGGTAATGTGTGGAACAAAAAATATGGATGAAACCATAAAACAGAGTTAAATAAAGCATGTGACAATGATTCAACTTAATACCAAATTAAGTAAATTTCGTGTAATTCAGTCAAAATAAAATTTGCAAACTTTCAAAATGATTGTTCAAACTTTTTCGACCATGCATTGAATGGCAACATTTTTATTCTTTTATTATTATTCAGTCTACATAATTGCATTCACAATTTGTATACTTTAAGATTAAGTTTAATAATATTTCATAGTAGATAAAGGATTGGACAATCAAGATTAAGTTTAATAATATTTCATAGTAGATAAAGGATTGGACAAAATTTATTCTAACTTAATTGATTCCAATCCTTACATTGTTTACACATATACTACATGACAGCAAACAAAACATTACACTGCATATTATAAAACAAAACGCATTTAGTAACATCACGAAGTGCATATACGTGTGAAATGGTATGTACAAAAAAAAAGGAAACAAGTTAAGAGCTATGTACCCTATAACCTTTTTTTACATAAGCCCCAACTTTATCGAATGTTTTGAGTCACTTTAATATCTTCCTGCTCTCCTTTGTCTAGTTGTAATATTATCATTACCAAATACCGGCAGTAGGTGCACATTATTTCGGTTTATATCTTAAATTAAGTTTTTCTTTGGTTTTTGTAAAATTGACAACCGAGAAAATAGTGGAAGGTATCTTAGTAAAGTGATCAACAGTGTGGGTCGTTCACAAAACATTAATTTTGTTATATATGCGTTTAAAGAGGTTATATACGTGTTGTGTCATTGAACGAAGCTATACTGCTACATTAATAGATTTTCGCATATACATTTAAAATTGATTTGTCACAACTAGATTGATTTAGTGTAAAACGTCACAGTATAAAATATATCAAAATGTAAAAAAAGAAAGATAATTCTTGGAAATTCTGCTAAAAAATATTGCTTGTTATTCCATGTCGGCATAAAACTCAAAGCCATGATAAGAATAATGAAACACGTTTTTTTTCGTAGGGTATACTTTTATTAACGAATGCAGTTGCTATGATTTCCGTACGCGTTTGCACAGGATGTGTCTATAGAAAAACCACTCCAGTTTAAAAATGTATACACACAAAAATATAAAACGTTGATAGAACAACATCAATTAGTTATGAACCATCCATGGTCAACTTACCTTCGTTACAACTTAACTTAATCACATCCAATCATCAATCAACTTTTTATTTGTATTCACCTTTACAAATCCATTCCATATGCACAAACATTGTTCATGTTTTTTTTCTCTCGAAAAATTTCCCTTCTATCCTTAATTATAATGAAAAAGAGGTAAATGACCTTAATAATTTCCTTCCGTATTAAGTAAGAATACTGTGAGTATCATATTATAAAATGAAGAATAACTTAACGTGGTAAAAACCTAACAGGAGTTGCTATATATTTAAATACATTCCTCTCTCAAAAGTTTACAGTCTAGTTGGTCTCCATCACTTAATTTGACGCTCTAGCTTCAACACATGATATTGTGGAAACGTGATGCTTACCAATATACATGCATGCACAGCAGTTTCTGATCTAACAGTTGTGTAAGCAAACACCACGCGAAAAGTTATTATTCGAGTGGTTACCACTGTATATTCTTTGTGGCTGATACGTTTCTGTATCTCACTTCCTTCTATTGTTTAGTTAAGTTTAGTTTAGTTAGGTTAAATAACTTCTGTTCATTGATCAATTATGTCAATCAGCTAAATATAAGATAATTTTAGTTATAAAATCGTGTGTTGAAAATGTATCTGTTTTTTACTTACATTTTCTCTGCCTCGTTTTTGGGGATAGACGTCGATATAATGTGTGTGGATTAATAGCATTAGGGAAGAAAATATCCCAGTAAATGTCAATTCACGCAATCCTTTGTTATGTGCAGTCCTCTGTTTACATTTCAACGGATGACACGCATCAACAGGTCTAGTACAAATGTATACGTATAATTTAAATCATGGGTCAGTTCAAAGCATTAATTCAATTACAAACAAAAATAAAAAAAGAGGGGCGAAGGATAGCAAAAGGATACTCAAACTCATAAGTCAAAAACAAACTGACAATGCCATGGCGTAAAAAAATATGAAAAATACATAAAAAAACAAACAACAGTATACGAAACGCAACACTGAGCAACACGAACCCGCGGGGTGATTTTATGTGCTCGTGTTTAAATCATGAACAAGTATATACCACGGAGTATAAATACCGGACAGTGGCTGCGTATCGAAGGGAGAAAAAAGGAGGCCGAATATAATAAA